ACAGCGACGAGGCGAAGCTGATTAGCTTGGATACTCCGCAGCCGACGCCGACGACCATACAGCCGCCGCTCTCTTTCGCCTCCCAGCTGGACGGGATTACGCTGGATCCGGCAGCTCTGAGCAAGAGCCTGGCCAACGGCGGGGCAGGCGGTGCACCGGTGGCCGGTGCCGCCAACGGCAGCGCCAAGCAGTCCTATGCCAATGTGCAGGTGCAGCTGAAGGGCGAGCAGGAGCGGGAGTGCGCCAAGCTGAATGGCAGCCTGCCCACGGGCAATGGGGCAATCATCAATGGGGAGACGGCGGCTGTTGTAACGGTAAACGATACGCCCTTCACCATACAGGGCTACGCAGAGCGCTACAAGGACAACAACAATCATTCCGAAATCAGTTGTTAGGGCGAATCCAAGCATCTAGGCACAAAGTGTTTGGCAAGAAAGCAAAAAATAATTAAATAATGAAAAAAGCAGCAACGGCTTTGAGCTTTCGATAAATCAGTTATCGATTAATTGTTGCATCGTATCTTGTTTTTTGGGACCCAGGTCCACTCACAATTTGTTTGAGAGCTAAAATCGCATAACGAATATTTAAAGAAAACAAAATGAGAAACAAACACACGAGTGAGAAGTTCACAAAATTGTATTGTAATTTAAAATTAAAAATTTGTATGCGCAAAGCACACACCCACACGCAGACACACACACACATACAAAATTACAAATGAAATGAGAAAGAGAAACAAATTATAAGAATTAGTTGAAAGTTAGTTTTAGTTTTAGTTAAGCTTAGTTTTTGTAAGCCGTTAGTTTTGCCAATTGCAAGAGGTTGTATATAAGTATATATGATGTATTTATCTTGATTTTGCTGCGATTATAAATTCAACTCTTTTTTTTTGGATATATTTATTATTAGTTAAATTTTGTAAGCTGATGACTGAAATGCTAAACAATATTCCTAAACAACAACAAATTTGCTTATATTTTATATGAATACTCCAGACAACAACAACAACAACAAAGTGTAATAACGCATATAGTCATTTATTAATTTATTTTAGCTACTTTTATTTTATTTTCTAAATGAAAAATGCAACGTAGTCCATATACAAACAGCGAGCATATAAATATTATTTTATTTTATAATATTTTGTTATTGTTTAAGCTTGATTTTATTTTTGTGTTTAACCTGTAAATAAAAGCTTCCGTCGTAGCATATGAACTTACGTATTTTATATCTAAGCTAACTGTAGCATGTAAAATATATATACACATAAAAAAAATTGAGAAAAATTGACAAATAGTAAAAAAAAAAAAATACAATTTACAGGGTGATTTTTATGAAAATTCAGTTGTATGTTTGAAAAACAAAAAAAAAAAAAAAAAAAACAACAAAATATTAGCGTAAAATAACGAGAAGATTTAAAAAAAGAAAGGAAAAAATGTTTTGTTTTTTTTTTCTATTTCATAATTTATGTTGAGCGCCATATTTTGTTTAAGAGATTAAAAGTAAGAAAACATAAAGCGTTTAATGAACAATTTTTGTAAAATAGTTTCATGTTTTGCGTTGGCCAAGCAAAGGCGAGCAACAACTCGCATTTGTTTAAATAATTAACAAAGAGAGAAAAAAATACAAAAGAAAATATTATTGGAAAAAATGTTGTTTCTGCATGTGTTAAATTGCAACGGTCGAAGCTCGTGGCCGAGCAGAGGTGATTATTCAAATTTTACATTTAGTTCAGACGAAACAAACAAGCTTTAAATTATATAATTTTTATAAAAATATATATACACAATGACATAAAATATACAAAAGGAAAAAAAATAAAATGCATACATATTTATATTAAACAAGGAACAACAAAAAAAAAAAAAAATTTAAAAATTATACAATACACACAAATAAAAAAAATAAAAAAATTAAAAATTTATGAAATGAAATTCAATGGACGCTAAAAATATTAATGAAAAACATTTAATTTATATGATGTATATGTATATTAACTGTAAGCATATTCAATGTGTGTTTAGAGCATCCATATATGTATATATATATATACATATATGCATAAAGATATATATCGCTATATATATGTATATGCATATAACGAAAGATAATATTATGTATATGTATATGTATATGTTTTGCTTATGTACAAGTACATTTATATGCGCATACATCTACATATATACATATACATGTGTGTGTATATATACATATATGATATATGTAACTATATATGTATGAGGAACTAAAAAAAAAAATGCTGAATATGCAAAAAAAATGACAAACATAATAATCGAGCATGTAAATTACATAGGTCTAACATCCGACAAAACAAAAAAATTAAGAATGTGTACAAATAAAAATTAAATGAAAAAAATAAGCTATAATAAAATAAATATGCAACACATTAATTCGAAAAAAGAAAATAAAAAATATATGAAAAGTAAAACCAAAAAATGGATAGGAAAAAGAAAATATGCTTCAAATATATCTCAAACATTCACAGCTAACAATTTAGAATCTAACTTTAAAACTTACTTTTTGCTCAAGAATGAGATCACAAACAGTTTGATTTGCATTCGAATGAGAGAGATCAGAAGTACATATAGTAATTATGTATATCACGCGGAGAGATGAACATTTATACTACATACTTACTTATATGTGTATCTATTATGGTTGTGCCGAGGCATGTAAGGGCGTTCCCCAAATACAAATACATACCTACGAAAAAAAAAAAAAAAACAAAAAAAAAAACACAAAAATGAAACAAACTTATATATGCGTAAAATATAAGCGAAATTCTCGTACTCAAGCTAAATAGAGTTTAACATTATTCACCAACTCTTTTGTTTCGACAATATCGTTTCCATTTTCTATTGTATTGTATTGTATAGAGGTTGTGGTGGATGGGTCGAAATTGCATTGCATCAAGATCAGTCGAATGGTATACCATTGATAGCTCCTCCATGGACAGCCTGTGTTCCCTTAGTTTTTGATATATCTCCACATCGTAACCTGACAAACTACTTACCTTGTGTACCTAAAGTCCAGAACCTGACAAGAGTTACTTACATAAATACATATTTATCACAAATACCAGACGATATACCATATTCAAATGTTGGCGCGCACTTCTTGATCTATTCCAGAATCGTTTTCAGTTCAGTTGCAGACCATCCACTGCTGCCCAGGTATATATATATATATACCTATATATATTTTATTTCATATGCGTACATATATAGAATTATATGTATATATATTGCCGCCAACCAATATCAGTAGTTTTGGATACACTTCATTGCTCCTCAATAAAATGTCGCAACGAAAATTTATAAAAACAAATATATACACAACAAATACTAAAAATACAAAAAAAAAAAAAAAATAATAATAATAATAATAATGCTAAGTATATAAAAACCAATAAATAGTATTTTTTATATACTTCAAAAAGGGATAAAAAAAAATCAGTTGAAAGTGTAATAAAAAAATGAAAAATAACGGTACAGGCGTAGACCTAGCTCTAGCTATATAAATATTAAATATAATAAAGTAAAATTGAAGGTTTTCATTTAAATCGTAATTTATTTTGTTACACTTAAAGCCAAACAAAAACCAGATGATAATGACGATGAAGAAGAAGAAAAAGAAACGTAAAGACTAGAAAAAAAAAATAAAAATAAAAAACCAACATTTTGTAAGCGAAAATGTGAGTTTAGATCGTGAGGCAGAGTTAAGGAAAAGCGTGCTAATAATATAATAAATGATAATTATATATATGGAAATTGTTAAATGCGGTGTAGGGGCGCTTGAAGGAGACAAATTGATGATTGAGAGTTGAACTAAAATAAACTAAAAGTAAAAAAGCGCTTAAGCATACAACAAAAGTCCATTTAGTATTTACTACATATTAGACAATTCGCAGGCAAAGCACACTCAAAACAAAAACAAAAATCAACACATTTAATAAAATGAAAGTTTTGCTGAACAAATTCTCTCAACTGTAGCTCTCACACGATATTTTTCAAATATAACTAAAAGGCTATTTATGATTTCCTTCAAGACACTATCAAAGTAAAAATTAAATCGAAGAACGAAACAAAAAGTATATACATATATTGTAAACCACCTTTTCTCAAATACTACTCTACATGTCTCAATATCAAGCCCCTGTGAACAAGTTTGTGTACAATTTAATTGAAAACACAAACCGAATTTCAACACATTTGTATGAATCGTGAATTTGTCCTTGATTTGTCTGAACGATGCGAACTAAAAAGTGTTTATCGCTCTTTTAATTCCATAATCACAACATCTGACAAACAAACCTTTAAAAAAAAAAAAAATAAAAATAAAAAAAATAAAAATTAATATATATATAAAATAAATATATATTATATTGCGAAATCGGTAAAGCCAACGTAAAGACAATTTTAAAGATGGATAGCGTGTAAGCGCATGAATTGTGAAATCTGCAGTGAAAAAAAAAAAATAAATAAATAATAAATGAGAATTCATGTGTACAAAAAAATGGAGTCTTTTTATTATCCCAAAATTCCCATTGAAAACAATTTTTATTTATTTTTTCAATTTCCTTAATGGTTTTTTATTTGTTTCGTTTTGTTGTTTTAAATAATTTTTTCTTTAGTTTTTTCTTCAGTTTTTATCGTCTTCGGCTCTAATGAAAAATTACTAAATTTAATTATTTGCATGCCAATAAGAACTAAAGTCATTAAATAGCGTTTTACAATTTGTTTATCATTTATTTTAGCTTTCTTTTTAATTGTTCATATATTTCTCTAGGCTCTAATCTAGATAACTGTATTAGAAAAAAACAGAAGGAATAAAGTCGAGATTTCTAAACGTTTCGATTTAACTGCAACTAGCAAAGGTATTAAGGCAAATAAACTAAACTTTTCGTTTTCTTTATCAATATTGGAAGTGTTTTTATTTTGTTTTCGTTTGTTTGTTCATTAATTAGTTTAAAAATCAAATTGAATAGAATCTAGAATGTAAAATAAATATATAATAATTGCACGAAATGTCTGTTGTCTTTTATATAGTTAGACCCCAACCTTACGAGTTATGTGAAAGCAAAATGAATTAGCTCGGACTACTTTCTGATAGATAGATGTGGGAATGCGGCACAGAACAGAACTAACAAAAGGAAGTCGGATGCAACCGAATGCAAAATACAATTTGCGTGATGAAAGAAAAACCCTTGATTAATCTTCTATCGATGTCGGAAATTGGAATTCAGTTTTCCAATTCACACAATGATGATGCGCCAGGCGAGCATTGCATAGAGCAAATATGCTCCACTCTTGCACTGCATGAACGGGTATCAAAAATTGATCAGAATCGGATGCACTTGTTTTTGTTTTCGCTACTAATTGGATGGAATGTTCTTACTATATGCTCTTTGTGTTCCTCCTCAGTTATGCAAGTTTAATTTGTTATATATATAAATTTAATAATGATGTTTCGCTAATTGTGTATACAATCTCATGTCAAAAACTTCGCTCTATACATATATACATACATATATATATATATATATATATATATATATATACCTAGAAATACATATACATATGCATATATATATATAAATAATTTGTATATATAATTTTGTATTTTAACTTCAGTTTTTTCTTTTGTTGATTACGCTTAATTTGTAGGCTGCAAATGCTAAGAAATTATGTTTGATGTTTATATAAATATATTTTCGTTTAATTATTTATTGGTTTTCTTTTTTGTATTTTGTTGTGTGTTTGCTTTTTTGTATCATTTTCGCCATATTTTTCGTAATATAGTACATATACATAAATTGAATTTTGTATATTTATAAACTGCATTTCTTGAGTTTTTTTTTTTTTTTTTTTTTTTTTTTTTGGTTTTGTTTTTGTCGTATATAATTCTGTTCTCGCTTGTGTTTTTATTTTTTGTCTTTTTTTTTGTTTTTTGTTTTGTCATATATATAAATTGAAAACTTAATTTTAATTGTAAAAATGTTAAAACTAGTAATATAATTTATAATTAATATTAGCATAGTTTACGTTACGTTATGTAATTTAAAGCAATAACAAGCCATTTCATATAATTTTTTGTTTTTCTCTCTAATTTTTTGTATTTGTTGTTGTTATTAAATTTGTTAAATAGTTTTCTTTTGTATTTGTGTTTTGTTGCAAAAGTATTCGGAATTTCTAATTACTGCAAAATTGCTTCATTATCTTTGACGTAGTTATGTTCACTATATAAATTTATTACGAATTTGTCGTATTTCCAAGTATTTGTTTCATTATCTCAAAATGTTTTAGTTTTCCTTCATTTCTCTGTTTGTGTTTTTCTTTTTCGCAAAGGTGGAATATTTTATTCTGTATATATTATATATACGCTTTATTTGATTCGTATTATAATAGTATTACTTTACTTAGTTGACTGCACAAAATTTACAAAAATTACGTCTTTAACTCGCCAACGAGAGAACCGACACCCATTGAGAGGCATTTCAATATATATATTATTATGTATATATATTTATATCTCAAAAATTGCACATCCGACCGGTGAACAGGTGCGGGCAGACACCTGGGTCACCGCATCTGCAGCATTTGTGTGTTTTCGTCTTTTCTTATTCACGGATGCCATACTTAATGAACCCGACTGTTGGGTTTGTTTACTCGTTTAACATATATAAAAATATGATTATAATTATTTGCTAAAAACCTCTAAAATGTACGCCATGTTGTAGGCATTTAGAAATTGCAAAGAAGAACATCACCAGACAAGATTTATGCTGTTGTTGTTGCTGCTGCCTCTGCCAGCCGGATTATTACAAAAATGGTATTAGACGCGCGATCTTGAGCACATTTTCCAGAAATGCGCTCCACAAGTCATTCAAGCGCTTCGAGCGAGACATAAGAAAACGCCAGGTGAGCAGCACGGCAACCACTTTTATCAGCTGATGCAGATAGTACAACCTAAAGCAGATAACAAGAAATCCAGTTAGATTAATTCCAACTCGAATGGGAGGTTTCGCCATGTGAACATACCTGACCATACGCTTTCTGCTGGCGGGCAGCGATTCGGGCCGCTGCTTGAATAAGAACTCCCTGAAGCCCAGGACATAGCGCTCCACGTATTTGTCCCAGTCGATGTTGCGCACATCGAACACAAAAATCTCACGGTCCTTGGGACTGAGCGTATGCAGCAGGCCATTCACATTGTCGTCCTTGAAGCGCCATTGGCGCGTGGCAAAATATTCTAAGCATTCGACAGCTTTGGCAATTTTGTTTTGTACGTTGACAACACTGAAACGATAACAATTGCATTAGCATTAAGTGAGTGTGTGAGTGTGGGAGTAGGCGGTGCTTACAATGGCTTCTTGCCCATGATGCGCGCCACTGCATCCAGTATGTGAGCTGGTAGAAAGTGTTTTAATATACAATTCAGCGTGTTCATTGGACGATTCATGCGCAGGTCACCAGTTGGATACCACAGACAGCCCTCTGCAAAAAGGAATCGAACATAGAGATCACTTGTGGGAGCGGGAGCGGGAGTGAGTGAGACCTACCCAAGGGATGCTTGCGCACGCTGGACATGGCATATCTAACAAACTCCGACCATATGATGGGATTACGCTGGCCGGTACAACAATTGTAGATGAGTAAATTATTGGATTTACGCGTCGCTGTGCGCCAGGCGGCCGCAATCATTAAATTAATCACAATATCGACAGGTACCATATCGGCCACATAGTTCTTTTCGCACATCATCGTGCGGAAGAGGCCCTTGGCCAGCGCCGAGACTAGACCCGTTGGCCCATTGAAGTTATCCACCCAGCCGGCGAACGGCTCATTCAGGCTGGCAGTCACTGCAAATGCGCAACACATTCACTCAGTACATATAAGAAAGCGAAAGAGGTCAGAGCCAAGATCTTTACCGATTGAGGGCCTCACAATGGCAACGGGCAGGTTTCCAGCCTCCTTAAGTAACATATGCTCCGCTAAGGCTTTTGTAAATGTATACGTATTGGGACGCTTGCCAATGAGGCGCGGTGTCAGCTGGAGGAAGAAGACCGCATTAGATCAATTCTATAGTTAAAGAGCTCTAGCTGTAGACATACCTGATCAAGTATATCCTCCGGAAGCCAGTTGATTAATGAGATGATATCATCGGGATTATAGGGTGGTGCATAGATGACCTCTGATACATCGGTTCTATCGCAATTGCAATAGGCAGTGGATACATGAATGAGTGCCTGAAAGAGCCGCCCATATAAGCAGTGAACTTTAGTTGATCTTCGAGGTACTCACGTCTAGGGACATCATGCGATGACAGAGCTCGACCAACCGCTTTGTGCCCAGCATATTGATTGTGACTGACAGCTTGAGCTTCTCGTCGAATTTCACTGTGGCAGCTGAGTGAAAGACAACGGAGACATTGCGACAAAGTAGGCTCTGCCAACCAAACGAATATAATTAGTATTAAGTTACATCATCATCATCATCGAAACCCACCTGATCGCTCTCTGAGATGCCCAGCTCCTCCGACGTTATATCGCCGGATATGGGTATGACTTTGCTTAATTCCTTCGGCTTCTCGCGGCGCAATGATTCGAATAGCTAATAATTGAAGGATAACTCTAGTTAGATCTGATAGTTGATTATGATAAACTATAGGTATTACCGGTGCATTGAGGAGTTCTGTGAGGCGCGCTGAGACCTCTTGGCCGCGCTTCGGTCGTATCAGCAGATATATATTTCTTATATCCGGACATGAACGTAAAAGTTTCTCCACGAGCACCTGAAAATGGAAAACAGATTTATTAAAATCAGAATGATAAATGGTGGCATTATCAACAGACTAATAAATTGACTAAAACGATGAATTAATGAACAAGCTCACTGACTTTTGCACTAAGCAACGCTATTTAAACGAATTGAATTTAATGAGAATGGTAATCATAAATTAAATGAATATAAATGTAAAGAAATAAATATAGAATTTCCTGGTAAAAGCGACTTGATATATTCTAGCATATATTTAGTTAAGCTAAAGCTATACATCAATCACACTGTGGGGGATTTGTTGAGGCACTTGCTGTTGATTAATCCACTTCGGCTGGGCAAGTGTGAGCAGGCGGACTCCTTCGCAAATAAGACATATTCATTAGGCCGTAAACTATAATTACGGCCTGTTGGGACAACAGCTGAGGTGGCCGCTAAGTGCGCAGTCAAGGTACGTTGAATGAATGGCTAAACACCGAGTCGAATGTTATCAATAGCCATTCACGAAGGCCATTGACTGGTGGATTGTTGGGGCGCACGGCAGACACGCCCCCAATAACAAAGTGAAAATTGTATTCAAAATAACAAAGTAAGACAACAGCGGCTATAATAATGACAACGGAACAGGAGCAGGAGCAGGAGCAGGAGTAGGAACTGGAGCAGGAGCGCTGCCTGGGGGCGTGCTCCATGCTGTGACGTACAGGTAGCAGGTTATGGCATTTAAATTACAGTGCCTGGCAACTAGATTACAAAATCGATGCGAAACAGCATTGAGCGCTCACAATACGAGCAACGCTTGCCACACTGTACAATTGAGTGGCAGTCTAAGCGGCACCGGCGCCAGCGATTACATGTCATAATGACGCAGGCAGGAGGCATGCAACACACAAGCACACACACACACACACATACATGAACATACAGTGGGCACGCACACATATGCAAAACAATGCCTGAAAATTGGCACAACAGCTACAGGATATGTTAGGAGTCAAAGCCTGTGAGTGTGAGTGTTTGTCTGTATGTGTGTGTGTGTGTGTGTGAGGAACAATTAGAGCTTATGTGACATGTGTGCGAGTGAATGTGCATGCCAGTGCGATGAGTCAACACCAGACTTTCCGGCTCAGATGCGACACTCGACATCTTGAAGCAGCCCACTCGCACTGGCTCTCGCACTCGCATTCAGTTAGTTGTTTGCCTGAGATGTTGATTTGCATGTAACTAAGTATTTCGAGAGTGCAATAGAATAACCTCAATTCGTTGCCAGGCGTGGCCAGAGTTCAACACTCCGCATGATGCAAACAGCGCACAACAATTGCATGCGGCGCACGTGGCGTATGCGTGATGAATGGTGCGTGCAGCCCGCTTAAGTATGCAATAAAAACTGCTGGAAGCCTAGCTACACAGTCGCAGTTGCGTGGGCCACAGGCGACGCTGTGACGCTTGTTAATATTTAATGAGTAGTTGCAAAAAATGTAGTAGAATATCAGCCAAAACACGAACATCATCGATTTTTCGATTATCTTCAGTTGATTCTACCAAAGTAAATAATGTGCCATCGCCAAGTCAGACAAGTTTTAATGGGTCAGTCGGGATTTCAAGGATAAAAAGATCTATATTTCGATGGGCTGGCTAAAATCAGAAAATCTATTTAAATCTGTGACTATTTGAGGAATGGAAAGTCTCAACAGAACAATCACGACTTAAATAATCAGTCAAGAAGATTCATGTGTATTTTTGATGAGACTAACTATTATTCGATAGTCAATTACTGATTATTCGATTGTTTGCTGAAAGTTTTTGTAATTGCAAAATCAGATACGTCCCATCGAATACTCAATAGTTATCAATCAGGAACGCTTTATGGAGAATTACTATTGCATGGGCTAAGCGACAAATGTCTCGATTGCAAAGCTAGATATACATATTCGATTGATTAACTTGAACATGGAACGCCCTAACACTACAATAAAGATTTTGATAATCTATTAGTGATTAATAGATTATTGATAAACGATTACTTGATCATGGGTTGCCTATTATTCAAGAACAATCGTTATACCAATAATATAATGAATAATAGATTATGCGATTGCATAGCCTAAATCAAACCCTCGGTTCCTTATTTTATGAACGAAAATCCTTGACAAATTAATTAATATTCAAATAATCAATTAGTTAAAATAATGGATTGATAACGTTTTATAATGGATTACCAACTATTCTGATTCTGAGTTAAAGATTCTTCGACTATTCGATATTTAGCTGAGCTAAATCTTAATGTTAATCTGTCCACCTAATCCCATACTTGGATCAACCACGATTTAAATAATAAATTGACGAACATTCCTCGGTAAATTAACGATCTTTTTATAATGGATTAAATATCGGTTTATTACCAATTAGCTTGGCATCGATAAGCGAGTCGATGCAAGAGTACTCGACTATTCGATATCTAACTGAGCTAATTCAATGTGTTTCTCTCCTTATCCCACAATCTTATCAATTCTATATTCGAAATGTAACTCACCTTGCCCATAAAGCCAGTGCCGCCCGTTATGAAAACGCTCCGTCCAGCATAGAACTGTCCGATGGGCACGTAGCTGGTATCATCGACTCGGTAGCGCTCGTATGGTGACTGCAGGCCCCCATTGCTGGGCAGCGCTGTGGCGGGCGCAGCGCCAAGCAGGGTCGCATTGAGGCCAGCTGCGGCGCCCGTACCCGCACTCGCACCACCACCACCAGCACCACCGCCAGTGCCCGCACCACTTCCGCTGCCGGAGCTGGCATAGCTGACAGCTGCGTGCGCCGCAGCAGTGAGTCCATTGCTGCGCTGATGCGAGTGAGTGCCATTCAGCAATGAGAATGTAGCATCGCTGTTGTTGTTGTTGGTGTTGTTGCTGTTGCTGCTGCTGTTGCTGCTGTTGCTGCTGATGCCGCTGCTGCTGCTGCTGTTGCTGCTGGTGCTGGTGTTATTACTGCTGCTGCTGCAGTTGCTGCTGTTGCTGCTGCTGCTGCTGTTGTGCAGTTGCTGTGCGGGCTGTGGCGACTGTTTGAGGCTGTTGATGTTGTTGCTGCTGATGCAGTTTTCCGTTTCTGTTTTGATGGCGACGGCGTGTGACATGTTGCCGTTACGTGTTGCAGTTGTTCTAGTTGTTGGTGTTGTTCTTTTCTTTTATATTTCAGTATTTATTTATATATATATATATATTTATCTATATATATATATATGTTTTACCCTTAAAGTATTCCTCGCACTGAGCTTAGTTAGGAAGCAGTTGAATCATTTGCAATGTGCGCTTCTTCTTCTTCTTCTTCTTCTTTAGCTAAAATTATGTTTTATTGTTCACGTTACGCTTCGGGTTTTCTTTTGTTTTCTTTCTTGTTACTTTTCTTTTTCGTTCTGGAAGTTGTTGGGGAAGTTGATTTTTGTTTTCTTTTATTTAGTTGGAACACAACGCTGCTAATTGTGCTTTAGCTTTAATTATTGTATTGGTTAACATACAATTAAGTTTCACAGAATTTTGCTGAAATTGTTGCTGCTATCGCCGTGAAACAGTTTTCCATTTTCGCAAATATTTATATGTATAAATATGTATATTAACGACTCTTAGCTGGAAAACTAGAAAAGTTGTCAAAGTCAGAGTCTAGAGTCCTTTGCTCTCTAGTTGTCTGCGCGTGGAAGAGACGACAAAAAATTGTGCTGCAATGAAAGGGAGAGAGAGGGAGAGAGAGGATTAAAGAGGAGGATTAAATTAATTAAATTATACATTGACACAATCTGAGTGAAATAGGGGTAATACAGTAAGTACAGAAACTGTTTGCATTTATATTTAGCCATAGCTGGAAATAGAAACTGAGTTCGGCATTCAATCGAGAGCCCACATCACAGACAGCTCGCCTGTGTCTGTGCCTGTCCATCTATCAAAATGTCACAAGAGGCGAGAGAGCCTATGCCTAAATATAGCCGTCTCTGACAGATCATGTGGCATGTGCGTGTGGAAGCCCCAAATGGATGCCCCACAACAGCGAAGCCGAGCAGACATCAATTTTGGCCAAATGACGTAGATGGTCGTGCGATTTGTATCCTTGGACGGCAGCCAGCAACAAACGAATCTGATGACGTCGGCAAGACACGAACTACACTCAGCTGAGACATACATATATACATCACATATAATGTATATATAAACAGTTGATATCCTTTTTAGCACTGGCTGCACCGAGTATGCCAAGCGGCTTAAAGAGCTTAAGCCGCTTAGGCGCCAATTGGGGAACTAACCAAACGGAAAAGCGGCTAAGACCACACGCTGCTGTCGATATCGATGACAGACTACGAATGCGCACTGCGTTGCCTGTGAGCGGGCATTCTATATCGGCGGCATCGCATCGGGCTCGACTTAAGCACTCATTCAGCTTAACTGCTGCGCAAATGCGCTACACACGGTACTCAGGTAACCCACGGTAATTACACACAGACGTGAGACACAGACGTGAGTCACGGACGGGCCAAAGCTCAGCGCTGGACAATGCTAGCAAGCTGAGCTTGCCGAAGCTCACCAATACTGATGCAGCTGCAGACCTGAAAGCTCTAATTACACATTAATATGTATTTAGAATTACATGGAAAACGCATAGGCCAGGCGGAAAGAGCTAACAGTGAGAGCTATAAATCAAGCACACGTCATTCTCCTTAAAAAGTTTTAGTTGTAAAATATTGAATGAATCTGTCAACAAAATGACGACAAGAAATGCAAATCTTGCTAAGTGATTGTTGTTTTGTTAAGCTCAAACAAAAATTACCATTTCGCTAGAACTGCGGGTGTGTGTGTGTGTGTGTGTGTGTGTGTGTGCATGTGAGAGTCTGGACTAGGCAATTCCGTAACCCTTCTGGCCAGGAAACACACCCAGCTTTGAAATCAGCGGCGGCATCTACCTATGTCGATCAAAGTTCAAGTTGTCTCACACATGTAAACAGCATCTCGCGACTTCCGCCCCCTCCCCTGCCCTTTCCCCACACTGAACACTTTGCACCTCGTAGCCAAACGGGGAAATTATTGCCGTTGTTAATGTTTTAGCTAATTACCAGCAGGTAACAACAATGAAATTCAAATTAAACGCTGCTCAAATATTGAACATGGTGGACAGGAACTGTTGATGCGACACGTTGCGTCGCATGGTTTTTCTGCCTGTCTATCTGTCTGTCTGTCAGTCTGTCTTTGTATATATGGAACATCTCTTTGAAATGCGGACATATTTGACTGAAATGCGTCTCAAATTCAAGTCCAAAGCGGAGGGCCAGCCCATGGCTTTCACTTTTAAATGTCTAAATTCCGCAATATGTTGTTGTATTTTATTTTGATTTTTTTTCCAACGTATTTAAATTTGGTAATTTTTTTTTTTTTTGGTTAGCCAAACTTTCGTTTTCATTAGAGGCAAAAAAAAAAAAATCTATTTCCAGAGAGTCAAAAGAGTCAGAGCGAAAGAGCGAGAGAGACAGCGTGAGAGAGAGGGAGAGAGACTTGAATTTTTTCAGTTGTTGACTTTTAGTTTTTTTTCTTCTTCTTCTTCTTCTGCTCTTTGGTCATTTGTATTTTATATTTCTTTCACTGACGCAGCGTTTATTTTTTTATTATTGTTGTCGTCGTTGTTGTTGTTGTTGTTGTCGAGTTAAGAAATGTGTTAAATTGGCACAGCTCTTTCATGATATTATCGAATCATATCCGCTGTTTCGAGGGCCCATCGACCACCACTACAGAGACAGCTCGCTGGCTGCCGCATAATTAAAGTTTAAACACCACTGACCGATGCCGAGTGGCTCTCATCACGTAACTGTAAATTTATCAATGGACCTTCCCAGGGAATCCAGTTTTACCAATTTCGGTCAGCCCCAAAGCACAACACACACAACTTCTTCTTCCGCCTCAAATTCTAAAGTGAAATTTCTTGAAAATCAACTTTTTCATCGCATGATTTGCCGCTCGCCCTCTCGCTCTCACACTCGCTCGCTCTCTTTCGCTCTGTGGCTCCTCTCTTTTTGGAGTGACTTTAAAATTCGCGCGCTTAAGCACTGACGCAGCCGACATGAGCCGCCGCACCACTGCACCGCCACAAAATCGAGCCACGCCTCTGCGCGTGTTAACCAAACATGAAGACCAATCTGTAGCTGCAGTATTTCATATGACTGTGTATGTGTATATGTGTAGGTATGTGTGTGTGCGCGCGTTAAACGGTAAACATTCAACCTGCCTTGACAAGGTAGTTACACTGTTATGCCTGTGTATTGTATGACCCATTTCCTATAATCGTGCCGCATATCATCATCGTCAGCGTCATCGACATCGAAAACGGCGACAACAACAACAACAACTGGCCCTGGTCTTTCATAAAACCCAAGCAGGTCTTTGTCTGTCCATTACTTGGCTACATTTTAGGCCAATACCCTTGGCAAAAACCGGACAATAGCCGTTTGATCAACAGCTCTGTAACCCGCGTGTTAGGCCCTGAGATACTCTTTCCCCGTTAATTAGTGATCCACTTAAATATATTAACATATAAGTTGAAAGTCAGCCAATTAAATGCAAGAGATCTATCTATAATTGAAGCAAACATTTTTTATTTATGTATTATTTTTTTTTTTGTGCATATTTTGTTTACATATAACTAGAAGCATTCGCTGATATCGAAAAGTTGTTTAGAAATTTACACAAATTAAAATAATTAAATGTAATTTAACTTGTGTCAAGGAACAAGAGATTGTCAGAGATAGGATATACATATGTATATTTATGATTATTGACTTCTGAATAATGCATTTAAATGATTTGCATGCCAAAAACTAGTTTTTTGCCACTTGAAAATGCAGTCAATGCAGTCAATGCATTCGTTTAGACTTGTTAAGCAGTAGCTTAACTTAATTAATAGCGGTTGGCTAAACAGGCCCTAAAACTAGCAAATAAATTTTGAGGTAAAAGTCCAAGTCAAAACTTATTCGATTCACTGAAGTTAACAGTTTAAACTGAATTTGCAATTTTGTAATGAAAAAAAGTTAGTGTATATGCAAAGTTAGTGTATTTCAGGGCTTTTCATTTTCTTTTTTAATTATAGATATTTCTTATGGCAACAAAAAAGATGTATAATAATTTTAAGATTTAAAATTTAAAAAAAAAACCAATTAAATTAAAAAGGAAAAAAGTTCATTAAACTAATTAAAGCTTCTTATTTCCATTTTCTCTAGTCTGTTATAGAGTTAGTAATATTCAAAGAAAACCCCATTAGTACTAGAGACTTTAAAAAAAATTATTTAAATGAATAAAGTTGAAGGTAAAGTATTTCAAGAGATAAAATAAAAAGAAAAAAATATTCAAAAAATTTTATTTTACTATAAATATAAAAATTTAGATTGAATAAAACTTTTCTTTCTATTTTATCGAGTTTCTTTTCCATACACTAAACAGAGCATAAAATATTCGTTGACTGAACTCGAAATTCTTAACGATTGCATTTGAAGCCATTTCTGGTTCTTTCTTTCTAAGAGACCTTGTTGCTTTCGGATTGTATGTCTTAGGTGGGGGTTTCTAATTATTGCATATTATTATAGGTGAAATGCGGAAGTATTTGGCGTGACATATATATCGTATGGACTTTGGTTACGGACTATTTGGTCAGTTCTACGGGCCAAAAGGTGTCAACAGCTGCGACGCTGTTTGCCTTAGCAATTTGGAAGATTGTTTCAATCGGATGACGACGCCGACAACGACAACGACAACGATGATGATGACAACTACAAACGAAAGTTCAAATAGACATATAGACATATTTTCACTTTTCGACAATGGGGCACATTATGTAAATGTAAGTCCCGGGCGGATGCTGGCCACAATATGGCATCATAATGGGTCTGTGCCCTCTATTCTATTGAACCTTTCAAAGTCTGACGAGTGTCTCTCGTTGTTGTTGTTGTTGTTGTTGTCTGTTGTATGAGTGTGTTTGTTTGTTGCTGTTTTGTTTATGCTAGTGTATGTCTGTGCGAGTGTGTGTGTGTGCGTGTGTCGTGTGCCCCCACCCGTTCTCGGGCTGCTTTTACAGTTATCGTAAGTTATCTATGCTTTGTGTGTAATTGAATAAATCTGTGACAGACTCTGCGCTCCGACCTGAGCTGAGCCGAGCTGAGCTGAGCTGAGCTAATCTGTGGCCACAATCCTCTGCATCTGCCTGTGCCCATAATTTGCGCTTTTGATTAACAAACAAAGCGCTTCGCAGTTTACAGCATAAAAGCTAAATTTAACTGTGTATAATGGGGCCCCCGGCTGAGTGAAAACGTTGTCGCTGTCCACTGGCAGAGGCACAGGCCCCCTAGCACCGCCCCCACCCATGCCCGCCTCTCTGCAGCTTCTGATGCGCCCCCGCCAGGCAAATGTTCAGTCGAGCCCAATTGAAAGTCAGCTGACGGCCTCTCTCCGAGTTAGATATTAAGTAATTTTACAATTAGAATTTATATTTATATTTATTTTTAGCCCCAAAACATGAGCTAAGACTATCTCTAATGAATGGGCCAGCCTCCAAAGCCAAGAACAATGTCTACAGCAACAATTAAAACGAACTCGACAAATTAATCAAAATAATAAAATCTGATGTACATTCACATACATACATATACATGCACGATATATCTATGTACACATATATTTCGCCCACATTGCA